TAAAAAAATAACAGAGCAGCAGGTATGAATGCTACGGAATGAAGTTAATTTCAAGCCCTGCCAGTGCCGACCCAGTCGGCTCCACTGCAGTTCTTGAAGCCACATTTGTGAGAACTGAAGCAATCCCACGAAAAGAAACAGTTCGTCCGACAAAGTTTTACCTCCTTGCTGATGACGCACATATCAACCTGACGTCTCTCATAAAGTGAATAGAAAGCTATGAAGAAAATGAGGACAAGGGACAACCAACTGTCGTGATTGGCCGCAAAGTTCATGATGAGAAAGTCAAGGTCCTTTTAGATGACAGTGAACTTTGCAGGCCAGCACAGAACTTACATGCCAAAGCAGTAGCAGATCGGCTGAATAAACTACTCAGAGTAAACCAGTTCATAAATGTGGTCACGGAGAATGAATTGCACCGAATTAAGGCAACCGACATCGTCTTAGTTTGATTCTATGGTCTGTCAAAAGTCTACAAACTGAGACCACTCGTTGTCGTAAAGGGTAACACTACTTTTAATCTCGGCTAGGTGGGTGCACTAATAACTGACGTTCCACCAAGACAATTTGACTACCTTCCTTCGATCGGTCTCTTAATTCCTCGAAGATCTCCGAGGTCGGAGAATTCAAGTGGACGAAATCATGGTCTCTTTCGATGGGACGTTCTTATTTATCTTCATTCCACCGAATTTGGCGCACGGAGATTTGAGGGGGCATATGACGAAAAGTCGGAGTCCACTCGAAACGTAGCGCCTTATGAGGCTGTTCAGCCACTTTTCAAAGAAAAATCTACTTCATCTTTGCGGGAGAAACTTGCAAAGCGACCAAAGGAACTCCAATGGTCCCGCGGTCTCCGTTCTAGTGGCAGAGCTGGTTGTACCGGAGCTAGAGGAGACTGTCTGACTGACTGTCCTTTTGGCGCCAGTACGATGACGACATATTTGTCATCGTCAGGGAAAACAGACCGCGAAACCTAAAGTTGCGCAAAACAATCTTCCCTGATACACAATTCACGAGGGAGGAAGAACAAGAACAGCAGTTGCTTTTCCTTTATGTACTCGTGGGGCGAAATCTTAGCGCTTAAATTGAGACGACGGTTTACTGGAAGGCAGCAAACACAACAGAACTTGTGGCTTTTTAATCTCCTCAGGAATTATCTACGAAGTCGGAGTAGATTAGTTTATTCAGAGTCCATAGACTCAGACCGAGAGTTTTTTGTATGAATATTTGGGTCGAAGTCCATCAACCACAGCGGATAACCACGTAATATTCATTAACTGCCGACAAGCAGCTAGTAGTGTACTTTGGGTTAAGGTGATACCATACTAACATCACAGATACTTGCCAAAAGCACATACACGCTTGTTTTGCCGATATTCTGCCTCAGCATGGCGCAGCTGCGAGGGATTCGGCTCGTCAGCCGGTCCTCCGGCATTTCGGGTGTGTTTTCTGGTAGATACTCCAGTTTAGAAATTGTCGCTTTTTAATCTCCTCAGAAATTACCTACGAAGTTGGAGTAGATCAGTTTATTCAAGGTCTATAGATTACATACATAAAATTCTCGGTCTGAGCCTATGGACTTTGAATAAACTGATCTACTCCAACTTCGTAAATAATTTGTGAGGAAATTAAAAAGCGATAAGTTCTAAACTGGAATATCTACCAAAAAACACACGAGAATGCTGGGTGACCCACTGACGAGCCGAACCCCTCGCAGCTGCGCCATGCAGCGGCAGAATATCGGGGAAACACGTGTGTATGGGCTTTTGGCTAGTACCTGTGCTGTTAGTATGGAATCATTTTACCCCAAACAACACAAATTTCTATTTTTCACAGCAACCATGTTATGACTCACAAACGAAGCTGGGTGACAATGATCAACAAACGGATCTAGATTTACTGCAGCAAGCAGGAGGAAAAACTACGCGAGGTTCGATATACCCGCTACAAATATGCACGGAATGGCTATCCGAAGGTGTTCATATGCCGATGCCTACGTGTCCGTCCCCGTAGGAGCCAACCAGAAATAGCACTTATGGTATGACATAATCCAACGTGTATCAAGGACGTGTCAGAGGCGACCAGGTGTCGGAATTACGCATCGGCCCAAGGGAAACATGCGCAGCAGAATCCAAAAAATCAAGGGTCGATTGAATCACAGTGGGCAGTTCGGTGTCTAAAATGTCCCTGCAATTACCCTGGAAAGACTCACCGCATGTTAAGATGAACGTAAGCTGATTGAGTGGTGTGTAACAAATTGTCGCGGGGAGCTGCCAACATTTACGGAACGAGCCATGGGTTCAACTGAGTAGCCGTCAGGATAGTCGCCCATGTCTGGTGCAAGTCGGAAATTGCTTGAAGTCTGGACTACGGATGAGGGCCCAATTGATCGATTTATCGACCTGGAATCGGCATGTAAAGTCTTGCATTGCCCCTTCAAACTTATGTCATTGATTACTGCCTGGTTGGACGCCTATAACTATCTCTGAAGCTGGACCCCTGCACGAATTCGGAAGCCCAGAATAAGAAACAGACTAGTCCGGTGTTCCACTAGACTCCTTCATCTTTATTTATACTGAAACCTGGAAGTCGAACATTTGCATCTCGCATCCAGCTGGCATTAGTCCAGGCATCCGATGTGGGGTTGGTCCGGCGTAGCTCTCACAAGGCCCGCTGTAGAGAAAAACATCCAGACCAAATCGACCTCCTTCATCCCGGGTGAGGTTTTAAACTCATGGACTAAACGCTGATGATTGGTTGACCGAAAGCACGGCAAATGTGCAATATCAGGAAATGTTAACCGAAATTCTGAAATGTGATTCCGATGAGAAAAGATTGCGTAAGAAGGGCCTTAAATATTATTTAATGAGCAGTATAATCATAGAATATTTCGGCCCATAAAAGAGCTCCTTCCCAGCCGCTTGTTAAAACTACACTCTGTAGGGAATGGCCACTTATGTAGCGTGAATTTTCCCATTGATTTTCAATCCCCCGATAAAATTAAAACATTATATAGCAAACTTGTACAAAGCTATTCTGCCACATACTTCTTTGGCCATATATCATGTCTTCGTTGAATTCCGTATTTCCGTATTTCGGTTTCAAAAGCGTTTTAACACCTGTGATCTCCTAGTGTCGTGAAATGTCCATTCCTACAGCATTATATCTGTCCTTTCATTAACGCTGCTTGTGAGTTATATGACCTGGCGCACATCCATTACAAATATTAAGAGTCCTATACGCAGTCATTCTAAAACCATAGAGAAGTGCAGGATTTCCTTAAATGAAAAAAAGACAGTGTAACTGCGGGCTGGGTTCGAAGCCATTTGGGAATCGAATAGGTGTTTTTATACAGTTTAAAGAAGGCGTAATTTGCCATAAAGTAAGATAAAAATATTCATGCGCATTTTCCGTGAAATATATTAAACTTTATAATGGCATCGAAAATCAGTAGAAAATTACACACTAAAAGTAGTCGTTTTACACAGCGTGTAGTTTTCAAAAGCGACCGGGAAGAAGTACGTTCAAATGTCGGCAACTTGACATAACTGAAATATCTTGAGATTGCGTTGCAATCTGGTTAATGTTGCAACCCTTCATAAATAATATTTCCAAATCGAGAACAGATTTTAGAATTTCGCTTAATATTTCCTGAGACAGCACATCTGCAGTAGATTACCCCACTAAGGAAACATGATGGCTGTCGATTTTTAATAGTAAGAAATGCGTCGAAGTGCCATGGGAAAGAATTCCTTGGTGACGATCTCACTATATCTTCTCCTCTCATGCATTAGTTCACTGTCCGGGCAACTCGGAAAACTGGTGCAGGAGGTTCACGCACGTGGCAGGCGCGGCACGATTCTGCGCCTTGGCGTGCCATCGCACTCTCTAATGTATTCTATTTGTTATGCGAGACACGGGCTTCTTGCCCCTCATTTGACGCGTGCTATGCTCTGATCTGACCTCCGTGTTGGTTCAGTACATCTCCTGCCCGACTCGTTTTAGAGGCACTAAAATCAATACACACATCACAAGTAGTCAGTTTGTGTTAAGGAGTCTTCGCAGGCAGATCGGTGCCCTGTGCTGTATAAATTGCACTAGAGTTATATCGTACGACGTGCCACCCCACGCCCTCCTCCTCCACATGTGTGGCATTTGTTGTGGAATGTGCGTACACAGCGCGGCCTCCTCACCGCATGTCAGGCCCCATTTCTGTCCCGAAATGAGCCACACGGCCTTTCGGTTAGGGCACTGCGAAAGGGAGGTTCATTTGATAAATAAACTTGACAATTTTGAGGGAAGTTATAATAACTAGCAGTGCAGACGCCTGGCATGAGAAGCTCAGTGATCTGAAAGGGCAACAGTAGTCTTCAGTCGCTTATTTCAGATGGTTTTCGAGGCCTACCACGTTGTTCGCGGCCAAATGACGAGGCCCTAAAACTGACAGTTCTACGACAGAATATACGTTAGAGAAAAAGTCAAATTTAAAAGATCGCCAGAGATCTCACTGAACTGCACACAAGCACTGAGCAAAAGACAAAATTAGACCGGGAGGTTCAGACTCCCAGTCAGACGCCCGTTTCGCGTTCGCTGTTTTGACACAGACTGAGTGATTCGGCGGTCGGCTGGTGCACGGGACGAGGGAGCAGTGTGGCCGACATTAGGGAATCCATCCTAATGGCACCCTAGCGCATTCCCCAATAAAATAAGGACGATGCACTCGGAGCTATCACAACACGCGAAAAATCGTGTTTTGGAAGTCTGTCAGCTGACAGAGCAGCTGAGACCCTTTCAGAACTGAGAGTCGGACGGTGCACTGGTTCTCACACACTTACGCATGTGAGCTCGAGTCGCCTCCTGATGTAATTCTGGCATGCTTGAATTAGAAATGGGGCCGTGTGCGGCGCGCGTAGAAGGATTGTTTACCTTTTTTCAGTCCATTCTCCCCGAGGAGAGTGAGTGCTGCATATGCGCGCAAATACGACTCACTATAAATTAATTCACGCGGAAGTCACCGATGCTGCGCGCATTCCGTAGGGTACGCTGTAGACTTTGCTGATTGCGACGGTCAGCTGGTGGTTTGAAGCGTTGGTGAGAATCATGTGGTTTGCCGATGAGGGCGCTGGTTGCCCCGATTGCCACGTTAGACCGCCTTTGCCTTGTTGCGTCCTGAAATAGGGATAAATCGATAAATAACCCTTTCAGTAAAACGCGCCGCGACCGCAATATTTTGACTTTGATTTTTGAACAGATCTCGCCGCGCCCGTGACGTCTGGCATGCTCTCAAGGACATGACTAAATGTTTGTCGGATTGTTAGCCTCGCCCTGACCAATTGCCCTTCTTCTTCTTCTTCTTCTTCTTCTTCTTCTTCTTCTTCTTCTTCTTTTTCTTTTTCTTTTTCTTCTTCTTCTTCTTCTTCTTCATCTTCTTCTTCTTCCTCTTCTTCTTCTTCTTCTTCTTCTTCTTCTTCTTCTTCTTCCTCTTCTTCCTCCTCCTCCTCCTCCTCCTCTTCTTCTTCTTCTTCTTCTTCTCTTTCTTTAAAGACCGACTATTCATACGTAAACTCGACAACTCGTCCGCCGTTGCCGACGATGTCCACCGCGTGCTCCACCGGAATGCGAAGGAGACACGGTGGCTTGCGCGTAAATTAGTTTGTAGTGAATGTGGACTTTCGCAGCATCTACCGCACTCCTTCCTCCCCCCCCCCACCTGTACCAGGTGTCAAGACATAGTCGAGAAGACCGGAGGCGGGGGAGGGCGCAGGTGGATGGCACGGTCGAGTCGGCAACTTGGCGTTCCACTCCACAGCCCCCCTGGTCCACACAGCAAATGACCAAGTTTTGATAAAGAACAACAACACCCCGGTAGGGGCCAGAAGGACGAGGATGATGACTAAACAGCTATGCCCACCACCTGTATATCCGGAGGGAATGCAAACGTATCTACCGGCAGGGAACTCCCAGCACATACCAGGCTGCGAGGGCTACGATTCGCTGATACTGACATAGCATACGCTTTTAGACCTTATATTTAATACCCAGTTGGTATTATTATGATAGTAGGTAGCCGCTTTAGAGGCTTTCTTCCACTTTCCAAGCTGACCTCGCGTCCAACTGTTAGCACCGCTGGGTGGGAAACGGCAGCTGCGAGCTTTCCGTTAGTTATCGGGTTTTCAAGCAGACGTCTGTGTCTGTCGCCACGTGCGCGGATTGCCGCCCGTCGCTGTGTTTTTTCTGAGTAAGAATGCGTGCGACAATGCAGTCAGAGGACCACTGACGTGATTGTGACAGACGGTATGATGTTGCGCTGGATTGCAGCACGCAGACACAGGTTTATCGCCCTCCCCCTACTCCCGCAAGGGCCTTTTCTGGGAGGTTGCGGTGAAGAAGCACTTGGAAATCTGATTGTTATTTGACGGGATACTCTGCTGCCCTGACGGAGACGCTCTGACTGCTTTTGAGTTGGTCTGAATTGTGATAATAAGCGGTCACACAGAGAGTCAAGGGGTGAGAGTAGGTGACACGAGTTGGGTTAACGTTGCCTTTGTGATCTGCGCCATCTTCGGTGTAATTTGGAAGCTGTCCAAATCAGTGGAGAACTTGGTCTTCGTGGCCAGTACTGCGGGGCTGTGAGTCCTAGGCGGGCTCAAGGGCTCCTTTTACATGCAGCCTCTATTACGCGCCTGTATACGTGGGATCTGTGTCGCACCTTCTCTTGCGAAATCGCTATACTTTGTACAGGAACCAGGTCGTGTGTGGCGCGCGTAGAGGGACGCCTAGCTTTGCCACTCACAGTTCTGCCTCCAGTCAATTTGGAATATTCCTACCCTCATAGATGAGGGCGGTTTAGGTGCTGCGTCCGTTCACCACCCTAGAAACCACTATAAGTGGCCGATCTCATGAGATATTGGTCGAAATTATGAAAGATCTCTTCGATTAGGAGGGATTACTTAGATGCGGTTGCAATGCTAATTACTCCGGGGCGTAATAGCATAATATTCCGGACATGCCAGGATGTTGGCCTTTGAAGGCACCTCTTCTCGACCTCTTACAAAAATCGCACTCGGTAAAAAGTAACCACTTAAGTAGATGTGCTAACTCATGAAATGTCAACAAAAATTTCGAAATGCGTTCTCGTTTCGAAAAGATAAATTAAGTAGTGTTGTAAAACTAAACATGATGCAGCATAAATCTATAATGATCCAGTTACCTCGGGGTGTCGGCTTTCGAAAGAACTTATTTGCGACTGCATGCAAGATCTATAGTCTGCAAAAAATGACTACTTATGTAGCACGCAATTTTCTCATTGATTTTCGATGCTCTTGAAAATTAAATTATATTTCATGGAAAACTTGCATATACATATTAATTCTTTTACTTATTCGGTAGAAAATCACGTCTTCTTCCAATTTCATACTCAAAAGAATAGTATAATTCGGTTTTAAAAAAACTTTTCTGACTCCCGAATAATTTTGAACCCGACCTGCTGTTACACTTGCATTCAGGGTTTCACAACTACAAGCTCTATATTTTCCGTGTACGGAAAACCATGCATTTTTCTACGGTGTTAAGGGGAGACCATATGAGGTTCATAAAATTAAGCAGTGGATTTGAGCAATATTGTTAACTTTACAAGCCACATTCGTAAATGCAGATACATGGCGTTTCATTAATGACCATTTAACGGTATTAAAAAATCTCACAATTAGAAACTTTTTTAAAACCGAATTATACTCTTCTTTTGAGTATGAAATTGGAAGAAGACGTGATTTTCTACCGAAAATGTAAAAGAATGGATATTTTTATGCATGTTTTCCATGAAATATAGTTGAATTTTCAAGGGCATCGAAAATCAATTAGAAAATTGCATACTACGTAAGTAGTCATTTTTTGCAGAGTATAGATCTTGCATGCAGCCGAAAATAAGTTTCTTCGAAAGCCGACACCCTGAGGTAACTGGATCATTATAGATTAAGCTGCATCATGATTAGTTTTACAACACTACTTAAATTATCTTTTCGAAACGAGAACGCATTCCGAAATTTTGGTTGACATTTCATGAGTTAGCACATCTACTGTAAGTAGCATGCGTTTTTCGCGCTCGTTTGTGATGCCCTTACAAACGTAATACTTTTATGGAAAACATGCACAACAATAGGCTTTCTTTTGCCATTTGATAATACATTACGTCCTCCTCATATGCAATACTCGAAGGAGGGGTATATTTAGGTTCTGTAAAAATCCCTAATTATGAGATTTTTTAAGACTCGGCATTTCCCATGCATACAAAACCGTACCTGTCCGTACACTAATGGTGCTCAGGAAGTATGCAATATAGTCTGCATCCACCACAAAATCTTTTGAACTCTAAAGGGTATCTCTTTAAATACATAAAGGAATATATAATTGTTGTTACGCGGAATTTGCATACCTTATAGAGTGCTATCGCTAAACGCTTATGAAACGGCTGATCTGACTCGAAGTTATCCGAGAATTTTAAAACGTTTTCGAAACTTAAATATATCCCTCATTCAAGTACTGCGTGTAAAAAAGGCGTGGTTCGCTATGATATAAGTACAAGAAGGCATATTTCTGTACATGTTTTCCACAGCATATGCTTGATTTTTAAGACCACTGACGATAAGTGTAAAAACGCACGCTACTTATGTAGTCACTTTTTACCGAGTGCGGTTCTTGAAAGAGGTCAAATCGAGGTGCATTCAAAAGCCAACATCCTGGCAAGTCCGAACTATCATGGGATTACCCCGCAGGATAGAAAGTATTGCAAATGCACCTAAGCAATCCATCCTAATCGAAAACATGACTCAGAATTTCAGCCAATATTTCATGAGATCTGTCATTGACTGTAATTCACGAGCAAGCTATGCTTCTGACCCCAACATGGTAGACGAACTCTCATGTCAGGGGATTTTGTCGTTAAACAGTTTCAGCAGGGTGAGACCCACTTTTATCAAGTGGTTATTTACATTTTAGGACCTGGTAACCGTTCTCGCAGTTTTTCGCGTCTAATCGACAAACATGAATTACGAAGAAAGGGTTGAAAATATCCGGATCATTTAGCTTCCTTTTTATCACGGAAAAGGTACGCAGGTGTCTGTAGACTGGTTACTTATGGAGTAACTGTCCCAAAGTAAAGAAATATCGGGACATTTATTCGTAATCAGAGGCTGATAAATGGACGTCGTCAAAAGGACCCTTGGATGATATTTACGTTACGTTCGGCCTTCTGCAGACAGATCTTGGTTTTTGGCTTTTATAACAAAATCTCCGGAATTTTAAACGAGGCAGTGGGCAGTTATTGGTCCTCATGCCGACAGAGAATGATTAGATCCGTGGGATGGTTTGTCTACCTGATAATTCGCCGACATAGCAGTCGATTCTTCTGCGCTTCATTTAACACATGCCTGCTGTCTGCTCACCACAGTCATCCTTTGCGTTTTTGATTAGCAGCCTCTAACAGCTACCTTGGGGTGCATCTATAACATTACCAAATTACCTTCAGATATCATCATCATCATCATCATCATCATCATCATCATCATCATCATCATCATCATCATCATCATCATCATCATCATCATCATCATCATCATCATCATCATCATCATCATCATCATCATCATCATCATCATCATCATCATCGTCGTCGTCGTCGTCGTCATCATCATCATCATCAGTAGCGGCAGCAGCATCAGGATGAAGTCGTTTTTAACTGGAGACGAATGCCTGCTATTGGCAGCGGGATTAGGACATTTTCGGTTCTCGGGTAGCATCATCGTGGCATCCTGGTTGGGAGTTTGTCAGTCTTCCCAGTCTTGGAGACGCCTCGCAGCATCCTACTGTCATCTGACTTGAAATAGATATCTTTCAAGGAGTCGCGTAGTGACGCCATTGACAAAGACAGGATGGTTAGACCGTTGAACTTAGTAGGCATCGATTACAAGAGATAGTAGGTTGTATATTTAGGTTCTGCCAACAGGCGATTGAGCTAGGCCGGATGACAAAAATTAACAAGCGGAAATTGTCATTCCAGTCCCCTGAGTCCTTATCAGTAGCGCTATTTCAGCACACATATATATGATGGAAAACCGACGAAGACAAGGGTGAACGGATTGAGCCGCAAGGTACAACGGGACGAGCATGTCCCGTAACTTGATCAGTGAGCGTCACTTCAGCATAATATGTGCATATATACATATACCGCCAACTGAAACGAAAATGCTCCTTCTCGGGAATAAACAAAATCGTCTATCCCGAAGCTTGAAATCAAACAGGCCTCGATCGTCGGTGGTAGGTTTGTACGGCGTCTCACAGTATTTTTGGGTGCTGAGCATGTCGGCGTTTTGTCGGTCCTACTGCTTTTCGTGCAGGATGTGCTGCGGAAGGAGGGGAAAGTTGATCTAGACTGCCTCTTTTTCTTATATATATAATATATATATACTTTGTGCATATCTATCTTGCTGTATATCAGCTCGAAACCCTTCGGAAGAAGACTTGCCCCCTCTGATTTTCTGCGTCCCCCTAAAGTCTCTTTGA